CTACGTTATTGGTGGGAACATGGCAACGAGAAAAACACGAATATCTGCTATAATTTTCTTCAAGGGAAACCATTCTCGTTCCAACGTTGCTTCTGAATCTTGTCCTCTTAAGGTGAAATTTTTTGCAAAAAATTTGAAAACTAAGTCTCTTCTACTAAACTAATAATTGTTGAAATAATTAACTGCTTTTTTTTTTCTAAACTATTCCATTGAAGATGTGCGAGTTTTAATTTCCAAGCCCCTAAGAATAAAAATTTCCTAGAAAGAGGAGGGGGATACCACTATTTCATCTGTAGTCGTCACGCCTAAAGCGCTTTGTTGTTTATTTCAGCAATGCTTCGTTCTCGAAAAATGTAAGTTACGCTGACGCGACTGAGTGCACAACGCGCTATAATTGAAATTGAAGAGCAACGAGTGTTGTGGTCTTAATTCGGGTTATCAAAAGTGGTATTGGCTGAGATCATTCATAATTTACAGAGTTGCCAATTGCTCTCTCCAGCCCTCTTCCACTCTGGTTTTAAACTGCACACATCACAGACTTGAAGAAAACTTACCATGGGTCCTGCGTCAGACGGATTAGCTCCAGAAGCTTTCTTAACAAACGTAAGAAGTGAAGTAGGACATGAAGGAACACCATGATCAGGCCATATTGTGTAATGGTACTGATTTAGTGTTCTCTCAGTTCTGCTATTGGCTTTCTTTAGTGTGAAAGTACGGATAGTGAAATCACTGAGCTCTACTGTCTGCATCATTGCAACTTGAACGTCACCGTAAGTCTTTCCACCCTCTGACGGCCAGTATTGGTGGCATTTTATACGACCTCGTTCTTCCAAGTTTGTAACCTTAGGGGGAAATGGACAAACAATACGTAATTATTGGATGGGGTTGAGCATGATGTCATGAATTATCAATGCCGAGGTCTGAGTTATCTCCCGAAGCCTTCCATTGCACACATTTTGTTACAATCATGTTGATTACTGGTAGCAAAATAAGCAAGCGTTTTTGACGGGTTTATTTTATTTCATCAGAAAAAACTTAATGTCTTTCTTTGAACTGAAAATGTTCCACAGAACTCAGTAACAACTTTTGTGCTCCTCGGACTTGAATTTTTTTTATCGCGTTTATTAAATGACAAATGCAAGGCAGCCATTTCGAAATATAGCACTCTTACTATGATCATCTTGCACGAGGTGATTATAGTAGGATATGATGTAATCCTGGACCAATCAGAGCACTCCCATTTCTATAATCACCTGGGTAATTATACTAAATTGTAGGAAAGGTTACGCAAAGAAGCAATAAACAAATTAACACAAACCATAACGATAGTCTTTGAGTCTTGTTCCCAGATCATTCTCCAGAAGTCATCTTCGGTCTCTGGGAGGGGTCCCTGCGAAGCGATGTACGCTTTCTTTCTCTGATAGCCGTCAAGGAAGTTGGCGTTGATGTAGTCAGAGCCTGGTACACCTTGTATGGGTGATAATTTGACTCGGCTGTGGTCATACGCAACAATGTTGTTGTAACGGTTTTTGTGCCTGTTTTCCTGAGCTAAAGTCGCATTCCACGTGAAATCGGCCTGAGGTCGAAGAGAACCGTACTCTTGAGAGAACAAGAGATCGCCGTTGGCGTGCAGACGTCGCACGTGTTCATCAAAATCCTCCACTGGCACCGATTCTCCAGGATTGTGGATGGGGTTATCTATGGATTGGAAAAACAACTGTCATTCTCTCAACGGAGATATTGAGTATCCAGCATCAAAGTGGTTTTCCTTCGGTATTCTCCACGATCAAAATCTTAACGTCCTCTCCATCAATCAGATGAAAAGCTAAGACCACTTCCTATATGCCGGGTTGCCCACATTTTTATATTTGATATCTCTTCGGCAACCGATATTTTTCTTTGCTTTAATTAGACGTTTTAATAACTTTGGTTTTTAATTTCACTTTACTCTCACGAAAAGCGCGGCAACTTAAACGTAGGTAAAACTTTGTCGAGAAATTCTTACCGAAGGCTCCTGATGCACGACCTAGGATTTTTTTTGATAGAGTTCTTCCACGTCTCTGCGGTCTCAGGGCCAACTCTTCTTCACCATTGCCAGGCTGACTATGTCGTCGACGATAGAAGAAAATTCCCCCTCCAATAACTGCAATTACAATAACAAGTACAACAACCACTACCACGATTGTTACTGTGTGGTCCTTTTCGGTTTTAAAGTCAACGAATCCCTCACTCTCATAAACACCCTCTCTGTCAAACGAGCGCTGAAATGCAACGTATTCAGCTCCATCGTTGAGCTTGCCATTGAGATACCTCACCACGACTAAAAGAAAAACATAAAAGCTTGGTAATTAGAGTAAAAAATGTCTCTTTTGCAACTCTAATTATTCGAAACGATTACAGAAAATAGACAAGAAAAAAAAAAGACAGAGGAGGGGAGACTTTGCTGCAGCAAAGAGAAACGGCAAAGTTTATGTACCAAATTCACAATAGCAGTGTCCTGTACAACTCTACAAAAGGTTTCATTCAATTTTCTTGGACAATTCAAGGCAGCCTTAGAGAGGTTGAATCACTCTTTAGGATCTCATAACACGGTCAGGGTTAAAATATTATTCCTACCTCTAAATGACACTTACTATGCATCCTATAAAAATCCTGATAAATAATATAGGTAAAATGCAGCCAATGTTTTTCTTTTAAAACTCAGACTTCTAAGATCTGATCCGTTTTGCATTCCACACGACAACTTTTATTTTTATTCATATCACCTTTGTTTGTGTAATGCTGTAAGATTCACTTCCACTTTCCCCATTAAATGTTCTAGAGTTCACGATAACGGTTTTCGCATCTGCTACCACCGAAAATCATTATTTGATCTTCTTTACTGTTTTTTGGAATTGAAGTGTTACGATTACGTTCTACTTCGGCCAAAAACGAAAACCTGAACGGTAACACTGTAACAATGTACAGGGTAGGTCTTGCATTCGATGTATATATCCAACCAAAAATCAACCATGAGTTTCTTTACAAACGCTATCAACAATTTTTCATAATGGATTAATAAATAAATAGATACAGAAGGAAAGAAATACGAGATAATGAAATATCACAATTTTCACTCCATCAACTTCAACTTTTGTTTAGGCCAAGTTTTGCCATTCTTTGTTAAAACCGTGTTCTGAACCACGGCTGCTAAGCCTAACGTACAAGCTAGGTGTTTCGCCCGAGCTTTCTTTCCTTGAGCAAGTGTCGAAATGGCTTCTTGATTACACTGACAACCTATTTTTTGTTTAAATTTACTTATAAAAAAATTAGATTTCGCTGATTTGTGCAATATCGTAGCCTTACATTTTTGTCAAAGTAGGCGGGTTTGTGCAGTAAAGTAACAGCTCATACTCTTCAATGTTTTTGTTTCTTATCCCTTTAGCAAAATCATTTTATTAGATTTCGTATGAAAATTTCTTAGAATACATAACCTCGTGCAACCCTTTGCCGAGGCTAATCGCAGCGCCATATGAACATGTACTAAAAAAATTTAGGGACCTTAAGCAAACCACGACAGCAACGGCAACGAAGACGGGAAACAAGAAAAGACCTAATGGGCAGAATAATAGCTCAGCACGTGCGTTTTAAAACTTTATACATTTCTAAGTTGTCCTTTGTAAAACGCCAACGTGAAACCAGCAAAATTAGCGTCGTCTACGAACGGAAACCGCGACGGCAAATTATTTTCATTTCCATTTGGAACTCAACGCTACTTTTATACGTTATGCTGAAGTTGAGGTGTGGCCCCGTATGAGACGGTAACCACATGCAGCCATGTCGAAATTCAAAGCAGAAATTTAGTTTTCAAGCTGCGTCTTCCTAGGCGTTGCTGTCCTGACTGCTTAAAGTCCCTAATAATTTGAATAGTCCGACTTAAATGATATTCATAAAAATTTTAAACAAGACTCCTTACGCTTTAAGTTGCGTATAGCGTTAAGCAACTTCAGAAACTGAAGTGAGATTTAAAATAGTTGGATTCTTTCTTTCTTTCTTTCTTTTTTTTTTTTACATGATCAATTCAAATGTCTTATCAGTTTGATCAGGAGTGACAGAATCGGTTGACTCACCCTCTCTGCGCTTCCTTTTGTCTTCAGTAACACCATCCGTCGAGTAGTACTTCCCATCTCCAACAGGGAAAGATGTTCTCTCCTCGTTATTGTTGGCAAATTCAGCTGTAATGTATGGTTCCCCTGCCACTTTCTCTTCATACTTTCTAGTGACTTTAATATATTTTGGATCTGACGATTTACCAGGGTCTTGTCCTTCTGCAAGTTCCATGACTATCACTTGATATTTACTAAGAAAAAAAAAAAGAAAACAAAAACTTTAACTAAGGAGTAACAACCACATACCAGGTAGGGAGTTTCTTGAGGAAAAAAAACACTAGAGCGGAGGCTACTCGATGGATGTGGGTTAGGGATATACCCTATCGCCTCCCCAGAGAGTAGACTACGAGTACATTACTGACCTGACTGGGTGACCGTTACTCAATTCCTGTTTCGGTTTGAACGGTATGCTCACTTCCGTTTTTCCAACGTTGTTTTCGACCACTTTTGGTGGCTCTGGTGGATCTAACATGGTGAAATAACAAGCAACATGAAAAGAATAAGCTTTAGGGTATAGCAGATTCTAGTGGCTTCGCCTTTCTCCTTAGTAACATTATACTCAAAGCAAATCTTCTGACAATGCATTTCATTTATGTTTTATCTCTCTCGTTATACAATTTAATTATCATGGTGACCCCGAGACAGGAAGAAAACAAATATCGAGATACAAATAATAGTAATAATTAAAAAAAATAATAATAAAAAAGGCAAGAATCGATTAACATCGATTAACATAAGTATCAAGTACATTTACAACCTTAACAGTTTCATCGATCGACCATCGTGCAAACATAATTGATGTTCATACCTAACTTCCGTCAACCTTTTTCAATTCGAGTGATGTTTTTCCACAATTTAATACAAAAAAGAGTGGCTCTTGTTCAAGTAATTATAAATGAGTAAAGTGATTTTTCCACTTTACAACATAGCCATGGGAAATACGATTTTCATTCTCAACCACATCTTTTCATTGCTTCAAAATATTATCTACTAAAAAAAGAACGAACTTAAGAAAAGAAAAGTGTAGAGACCTTTTAAAAACAATCCCAGGCACAAATTAGACAATAAATTCTACTAGCACTATGAACTATAGTTTTATGAAAATTTCATGAATTTCTAGTGGAAAACCCATGAAAATCATTTCATGGCCCATGAATACTGAAAAATGAAATTTCAAGGGGTTATTTTAAGCCCTGAATTTTCCTTGAATTAGGGGAATTTTTTTCATGACCCATTAATTTCTTTTAAGTCTGCTTTTGTGACCCATGAATTTCCCCTGAGTCACCAGAATGAATTCCATGACCCATTAATTTCTTTAAAAGCCAACTTTCAAGACCCATGAATTTCTTTAAGTCTACTTTCATGACCAATGATTTTCCCCTGAAAGTCACCAGAATGAATAGTTTCTAAAGAAACTGTTTGGGGCTGCGTCGGTGGGGTAACGCGATAATTTGAATATATCAGCAAAGTAACGGTGGCCAATTTACCATTTCAACTTTGTTGAGATATTCAAATAATTTCTTTAAAAGCCTATTTTCATGACCCATGAATTTCTTTTACTCTACTTTCATGACCTATGAATTTATTTAGGTCTACTTTCATGACCCATGAATTTCTTTTACTCTACTTTCATGACCCATGAATTTCTTTTACTCTACTTTCAATAATAGATTTGCTTTCTAACCGCAAAGGCCTCTTGGATTGCATAATCGTAAAATTTTTTATTGTGATGCAAAATGTGTCATGTCCACAGATGTGCCAAAATCATAAGACATAGACATAATCACAAACATGGGAACGCTTTGGAATGTACACATCCATTTATAGGCGAGAATTCCAACGCACCATAGTCGCTTCCTTCGCTTGTCCAATGTTTCTTCGTTGAGACGCACCTGACGGTTCTGTCCTGGTGTACTGGTTCACAAGGGAATTACCATTGTTCTTTCTTTGTTTAGGAGTCATTGGTTAGCTGTTGTGTATTGTTCGGTCTTTTGTAACGGCTCTTGTGAACCAGTACACGAGGAAAGAACCCACCTGACTCTTTTGGCAACGCTGCTAGTTCAGTAGAAGTGAAGGACTCACGCCAGGGTTTCGATAACTTTTGGCCACAAATCGTTCACTTGTAGTACGTTCGATTCTTCTCGATTATTTCTACATAGAGTGAGTTCACATTATTATTCATATCATCTTCAAAACATGGATCCAAGGTTAAGCATCGTCCAAACGCAGAATACCGGTCGAAGAAGTCGTCAACTTTTGCACGCTTCTATCGAGACTGCAATCGGGCAAGCCAGCGGATTCTATTTATTAGCCAATGAAAATTCCCAAAATATCCACATGATCACACTCGTGATCGGAAACAAAGAAAATTCTATTTGGCGCTCAGCTTTGAAAAGAACTTTTCATCCGTTGATCGCTCGTACTCGTGTTTTCCTTAATTAATACAACGTCTCTAGAGATGGGCTTTACTGTTGTTCAGTGGGAAAACGAGAACAGCGTGAGTGGTACAAATGGAGAGCAAAAGAAGGGATAACAGTTCTCATATCGACTGGCCGGTACAAGGGTCAAACGGCCATTCATAAAGCTTCGATTTAATTTGAAAGTTTGTGGTGAGTACAAATTGTGATATTCGGTACTTGATCAAAACTGAGAATCGAATCGGTCACTTCCATGCCACAATTTCTTAAGATTAC